GGCGCTGGTCCCTCGCGTGCGCCAGGTGTGGGGCCCGTTGGGCCCGAGCCAGTTGGCCGACGCAGATCCCGCCGCTTGTAGCAGACGGGCTGAGGCGGAAAGCGACCGCCCGTGGGCCCTGGCGAGTGCGGGCCGGCTCCTCCAGCCGCTGGCCGCCGCGTGGCGCAGGCGGGGCCACCTGCTGGCGCGCGGTCGAACGCAGGGGGAGAAGCGGAGGGCTCGGGCGCGGAATCTGAGGGAGATCCGCCTGACCGAGCTGCGGGCGGCGATCCCGGAGCGGATCCTGCTGGCGGGTCTGCCGCACCTGCAGGCTCCGATCCCGAGGGAGATTTGCTCCCCAAATCTTGGCACATGAAATATGGCCCTGTTGGGCGATTTTCTTCATTATTTTCGACTCCATTTTCTTCAACGTAGCTTCCTGTATCACACAACTCATGCAACGTGGTGAGAGGGTTAGTCACAGTAGTATCATCAGAATTATACTCCCCATTGGCAAAGCCGGTTAGATTTGGAGGCAAAAGAAGAATTTCTTTCCGAAGTAAAGCACCGGCATTTGGGTGTAAATCAGCAAAGGGAAACTTCGTTTGATCGAATACAACATCACGGGATATGTAAACTCGACCAGTAGAGACATCTAGACATTTGACCCCTTTGTGTTGAGAGCTATATCCGAGAAAAACACACTGTTTTGAGCGAAACATGAGCTTGCGAGAATTGTAGGGTCGAAGATTAGGCCAACAGGCGCACCCAAAAACACGAAGTGATGTGTAGTCGGGTTTGACATGAAGAAGTCGCTCGGTGGGTGTGTCATTGTTGATAACTCGACTAGGAAGCATGTTGATAATGTGAACTGCCGTGAGAAAAGCTTCGTCCCAAAATTTGAGGGGCATAGAAGCGCCGGCAAGAAGAGCTAGACCAACCTCAACTATGTGCCTATGTTTGCGTTCGGCCAATCCGTTTTGTTGGTGAGCGTAAGGGCACGACACATGATGGGATATGCCGAGGGTTT